TTTGGTGTTCGGCTGAGTTCTTTATCTCTTCATTTGATGTTCTAGGGTTTCAGGATTGTTGATTCTCTGTTTGGCTTAGTTTTTCGGTTCTTTGCTGTGGAGGGATGGCGTGGTGCTTCTGCCTAGAGCGCCATCTTGCCAGACCGAGGGCAGAGATTTTTGTCTGTTTTGTGATCCTTGCTGTACTCCAGGGCCTGGCACAGAGTAGGTGCTCAATAAATGGTTGTTGGTTGACCCATCATCACTATACTTACTATGATTTTTCCATCTTTATCTGAATGAATAATGTCAGAGATGTTTACACTCATCAGGCACCCTCTAATAGATGTACCATTACTGGTACTTACCCGTGGGGATGAATAAAGAGGATGGATTCCTGGAGGCTCCCCAGTTCACTGTGGAGGTCCCAGGAGCTGAGGAGAAACCCCCATCAGTGAAAGCAGCAAGGCGCCAACATGGCGGGAATGCTAGAGGGAGAGACTATGGGGCTTGCTGCACATGGGTCTTGGGCTGAGACTCCCTGTGGACCTAGGGCAGAGGGGAGGGTAAATAATCTGTGCCCTCTCAGATCCTTCCTTCTTGGAGAGGGCATGAGGGGACATCAGGAGGGGTCCTGCATGGTGGAGGGTTGGGGACACTGGGAAATCAGTTGAATACTTACTGGTGGTGATGGGTGCAGATCCCCGATGGGTGAAACCTGCAGCGAGAGAGAGAGGACACTGGGTACAAGTTAAAAGAGGGATAGGAGGCCAACCAGAAGTCAGAGATACTCTAATGTATTGGAGGGGGCTTCATGGATCAGGACCCCCACATCAGGGAAGGAAAAGGCCCCAAGATGAAGAAGAAGACATAAAGTCCAGACCTGAATCAGCACATCCAAGGCATGTGGCAAAGCCCCCAAGGGCCAGACAGGGAGCATGACTTCAGGCCCGAGAGAAGAAGCTGCAGCAGGATCTTCTCAATGGGAAGGAAGGGACCATGACCCATCACAGCTGCTCACCGTTGACATAGAGACTGTCCTTGGCCAAGATGTAGGTGCCCAGCCGGGTGACACCGTGGGTCATCTGGCTCAGCTCCCAGTACAGCCGCTCTCTGTCCAGTCCAGAGCCCTCAGGGTTAGGGTGGTAGGTGCAGGTGGCATCCACTCCGGTGGCTGCCCCGTCTTTCTCAGGCCTGGGTAAGAACTCCCAGATGGTTAGTCCAAATGTCTGTCTGTCTGTCTGTCCTTCCCTCCCTCTCTTTGCTAGCCCCTCAGGCAGGAACTTGAGAAACCTGTTCACAAGGAAGCTTCTGCCTTCAGGGAGACATCACCATAAACAGATAACTAGGATACCATGGGACTCTAAGCCCCCTGTATGCCTTGGGGGAGAAGCCTCTGGAAGCACTGGATGTGTAGCAGATACAGAGAGGGTACTGTTGATGGGTGAGTGATCCTGGAAGATGCCTAAGATGCCATGACAGCCAAGTCCTGTCACAGCTCCTGATGGTCACAAGGGGATGCTTAGAGTCATGCTGTAATAGGTGGCGGTGGTCCCAGGATGGCTGACCATGGCATGGCCAGTGACATAGTCCTTCAGAGACTGGGAGCATTTTTTCAAATGGTGGAATCAGAGGCTAAAGTCCCCCACTCTAGATCCTATGAACCAGCAAGGCAAGGACACTTCTAAAGAGACTCAGGGAGCTAAATCTGGCTTGGAAGAGATACCTTTTTGTGGGTCTGTCTGAAACTGTTGCTTGTCCAACATTGAATCAAAGGCCTTCATGTCTCAGCACCAATCCCCAGCTATAGGAGACAACTGACCCACCTACCCACCCATCGATTCATAAATTATTGAGTGATTGGGAGGGAAACAGCTCCAGGGCCCTTTCCATCCAGGGCTATGGATGCAGTACCTCCTATAATAACTACTATTTATTACATGCTTAATATGGGAGTCCCTGGTTGGTGCAGACAGTTAACCTGCTTGGCTGCTAACTGAAAGATTAGAGGTTCGTGTCTACCCAGAGATGACTCGGAAGAAAGCCCTGATGATTTACTTCCAAAAAATCAGCCACTAAGAAACGTATGAAGCATATGTTTGACTTTGACACACGTGGGATCACCATGAATCAGAACGGACTCAATGGCGGCTGGTTTAGGGGGGCAGTGTTGGTTCAGGGATAGAATTCTTGCCCTCCTTGTGGGAGACCGGGTTCAGTTCACAGCCAGTGCACCTCATGTGCAGCCACCACCTGTCTGTCGATGGTGGTTTATGTGTTGGCTATGATGCTGAACAGGTTTCAGTGGAGCATCCAGACTAAAAGAGACTAGGAAAAAGCCTGGAGATCTACTTATGAAAATCAGCCAGTGAAAACCCTATGGATCACAACTGTCTAATCTGCAACCAACCATGGGGATGGCTTAGGATCAGGCAGAGTTTTGTTTCCTTGTACACAGGATCGCCATGAGTTGGTGGCCAACTCGACCCCAGCTAACAACAGCTTCACACCTAGATCCCCTTTCTGGCACCCCAAGGGCCATGCCCTGCCCCGCCTCCCAGCCAGCCCAGGACAGGTTGGACCCCCTTCAGCTGTGAGTCTGACATATTTAGGATCGTGCCTTCTCCCTATAATGCAGTTTGCTTGTTTTCCTCCTCTCTTAGATTATCCAGGCAGATTCCTCTTGAGAGGTTGTCATATGGGTATTTTCCACACCCTGTGAGGCCATAATGGGTGCAGAGGAGGCCGTACTGCCTAAGGGCTAGGGGTTTGGATCCAGAACTGGAAATGCAGGAGTTGCCTCTGTGACTTGGAGCAAGCCACTTAATCCCTGTGCTTCAGTTTTCCCTACTGTTCCTGCTTCACAAGACATTTATCAGAACTGAATGAGGTATTAAATACACAGCACAGTGCTTTTGGTCTTCCTGATTGTTAGCTGTTGCTACTGTTGTCATTGTCTTTGTTGTAGGTGATGCTGAGATATCATGGGCAGTAGTTGTATGGACAGATCAGGGAGCCCAGAAGTGAGGGCCCCATTCACCTGCTGGGAGGGTCTCACCTGAGCGAGGCCATTCTGCAGCCAGAATAGAGGAATCCCAGGCTGCTATTCTCCAGCAAGGGTCTGAGCTGTGAGGAAGGAGAGGGGAGGTGAGAAGGAGCCATGGAGGGACGCCAGGAATTGCGGAGGCATTAGAGGGGTGGGCAGGGTGAGGTGGGTGGGGCTGGCGTCTGTAGGTGGGGGAAGGCTGAGGCAAGTGGGAATCTCACCAAGTGCTGCAGAATCTTTTCGGTGAAGTTGAACTTCCCAGAGCCTGGGAGCCGCATGTCTTCTGTGTACTGCAGGTTGGTGATGGTGAAGTTCAGGGTGAATGGCACTAGGAAGGGGACTGCTGCAGCAGCAGGGGAGGGAAAAAGAAGACCATGTCTGAGTGAGGTCTGGCTTGGGCTCTAAGACAACTTCTTAGATGGTCCCAGGTCTGAGGACTCAGAGGTTTGAAGCAGGCAGGCTACAATTTTAGTTAGGATAGAAAATGGAAGGCCAGGTAAGAAGCAGGTTGGGGACCACAGCCTACATATGGGCCAGGCCAGGTGACCAGGGCCTGAGGTCTTGGGCCCACAAGACTGACCCTGGCAGATTCTAGAGGTTAAAAGGGGACAGCATTTGGGCAATTTCATGAGCTGGAGGAGGAAGAAGGGAAAAAATCAATTCAGTCCCATTCAACATGGTAGTGCAAATGGTTAACGAGGTCAGTTGCTAAACAAAAGATTGGAGGTTCAAGCCCACCCATAGACACCTCAGAAGAAAGGCCTGGCAGTCTACTTCCAAAAAATCAGCCACTGAAAACCCTATAGAGCACAGTTCTGCTCTGACAGACATGGGGTCGCCTTGAGTTGGAGTTGGCTCAGCAGCAACTGTTTTTTTTTTTTAAATTTAGCAAACATTAAAAAAAAATTAGCCGAATATTTGTCATTAGAGGAAGTCTCTCTTCAAGTGCTCGACCTGTTTATCCTGCCTCCCCCTTCCCATAACTCCAAGAACTTGTCCTTTTATAAAGAGACCTCATTGTAGAGCCGTGGTTATGGCCATACTCTAGAGACTTAGATTTGGTTTCCAGTCCTCTCTCTGCCTCTTATCAGCTGTGTGGCTGTGGGCACATTACTCAACATATCTGTACCTCAGTTTCTTCAACTGTAAAATGAGCAGAATCATCCTTCAAAGGGTGGTTATGAAGGTTAAATGACAATGTGTGTTAAAATAATTAGCACATCTCAAGGACAGAGTGAAAAAGCCAATCCCAAAAAGTCATGTGATGTAGGATTCCATTTATATAACATTCTTTTTTTTTGTTTCAAGTTTTATTTTATTGTGGTGAAACTACACATGACAAAACATACGCCATCTCAGAAACTTCTACATGCTTAATTCAGTGACATTGGTTACATTCTTCAACTTCTACAGCCATTCTCACTGTCCTTTTCTAAATTGTTCTACCACCATTAACATAACCTCAATACTCCCTAAGCAAAAACTTCCTTAACGTCCTTGAAATAAGAAAAATACAGAGGTGGAAAACAGATTGTCAGGGGTTGGGGGTGTGTGGGTTTGATGATTATGGGATAGCAAGGGAGAGATCTTTGCGGTGATGGAACGGTTCTGTATCTTGATTGCGGCAATGGTTACATGACTCTACCCATGAGATAAAATGGCATAATGCCACACACGCATATACACATACAAATGAGTATGTGTAAAACTAGTGAAATCTGACTGAGGTCTGTGGAGTTTACCAATGTCAGTTTCCTAGTTTTGGTATTACTGTACTATACTTATGCAAAGGTCTCTGGGTAGCGCAAACGATTTGCATTCAACCACTAACCTAAAGGTTGCCAGTTTGAATCCACTCAGTGGCTACAAAAGAAGCCTAATGATCTGCTTCTGTAAAGATTACAGCCATGAATACCCTATAGAACCCTATGTGTCTACTCCAACACATGGGGTCGCCTTGAGTTGGAATTGACTCGACAGCCATGTGTTTTGCTTTGTTTTGTTTTTTATGGTTATACAAGATGTAACCATTGGGGAGAAACTCGGTCAAGGGGACATGAGAGGTCTGTATTACTTTTGCAACTTTCTGTGAATCTATCATTATTTCAAAATGTAATTTAAAAAACAAACAGCACATGGCCTAGCACATAAAATCTGAAAAACCAAACCCATTGCTGTCGAGTCGACATGGCCTCAGCAGGAAGTGTTAAATAACACGGTTGTCTTTTGTTATAATTACCAATTGCATTTGCATGTTCAATATCAGTCTTCCCTCGATAACACTGTAAACTTGGTGAAACAACAAACCCGTGGCTGTCGAGTAGATTCTGATTTATGGCGACTCTGTGTGTTACAGAGTAGAACTCCTCCATAGGGTTTTCTTGGCTGCAATCTTTAAGGAAGTAGATAGTAGATAGCTATGTGTTGTTTTTCTTTTTCTTTGCAGCCACTCAGCAAGTTCGAACTGCCAACCTTTAGGTTAGTAGTTGAGTGCAAACTGGTTGCGCCCTCTGAGGACCCTTTAAACTTGGTGAAGGGAGGGACTAACCTCACTTACTCAACATCTTATTCTGCATTCCTAGCACAGAACACATGCCCAATAAATACCTGTTGAACTAAATTCCCTGGTAGCCCCTGGGCTAGGTCTTCATTTAACCTTCACAATAACCTTATGAAGTACTGTTCCACTTGAGAGGTGGGGAACTGAGGCAGCAAGAGGGTAGGTAACTTGACCAAGGTAACACAGTTGGAGAGATGAGGAGGACACATCCTTTCTCTTGAGAGGTTCATAGCAGAGCAAGGGGTGCCCATGACTGAGCTCCAGGTTCCCTCACACTAGCTTGTCCCTGTATCTCCCTGGCCCTTGCTTTAAAGCCAAATACCTTGGCTCCTAGAAGGCATTGGAGAGAGAAGTCACCTACCTGTGGAGCTGGAGAAGGGGAGTGGCACCACTGCGGTCCCTTGGAAGAGTGTGGAGGTCACTGCAGCTGAGGAGAACAGTCTGGAGTGAGATCGGGAATGGGATGTGGCCCGAATGCCACTGTGTACACTGTCGTATGTGGCTAACGCCATGGAATGCAGAGGCAGGGGGAGATAACCACCCTAAGATGTTGGACTCAGGGTTGGGGAATCACTGTTGCCCATAAAGGAGCCTGGAGTACCTGGTCACCAGAGCCATGAGTACTCACCACTGGGGGTAGGTGCTGAGCCCCGATGGGTGTAACCTGCAATGAGAAAAGTAGACAGAATTGCAATGCAGACAGGAGAACGATGTCCAAGATACAACCCGAGGCCCATCACTCCCCACCCACAACTGAGACATCAAGTCTACACGGTTCAACAAGCATGATTTAAGAGCAGCTGTATCTTTTTCACGGTGACCCCGTGTGTGTCAGAGTAGAAGTGTGTTCCATAGGGTTTTCAGTAGCTGATTTTTTGGAAGTAGATAGCCAGGCCTTTCTTTTGAGACACCTTTGGGTGGACTCAACCCACCAACCTTTTGATTAGCAGCCATGTGTTAACCTTGGCACCACTCAGGGACTCCATGAGTTGGAGTTGACTTGACAGCGACTTAAAAAAAAATCTTTTTCAGAGTCACTGGATGGTAACAAATGGTTAAGTACTCAGCTGCCAACTGAAAGGTTGGTGGTTTGAGTTCACCCAGAGGCACCTTGGAAGAAAGGCCTGGCAGTCTACTTCAGAAGAATCAACCACTGAAAACCCTGTGGAGCACAATTCTACTCTGACACATATGAGTCTGTGAGCCAGAGTCGCCTCGACAGCAGCTAGTAAATCTTTTTCATAAAATGCAGAGAAATTGAAGTCCTAATCGCCATCTTCATGGGCTTGCAATTTGTTTGGGACGATAAACACATCAGAATTTCTACAACATGGGTTTGCACACTGCTTTTCAGGGCCCAGAGGGGGGCTTTGATGTACTGACAGGGAGAAAGCTGAACGGCCAGACTCTTGAACTCAGTCAGAGCACCTTCTATTCCATCTGTCTAGAGAAGAGTTACTGTGGATCAGACAAGTGTGCAGATCACTGCTCTGGAGTGTATAGATGCAAAGGAAAGAGAAGGTCTGGCAAACTCAAGGGCCTGTGAAGGTGGAGCTCTTAACGTCATTCAGGAAGGTGGCCAGGTGAAAGATCCTGTGGTGGCTTGGAGAACCACACTTTTGAGAGGCAGATTCTTAGTTTCAGCTTGTGGTTCCTCAAAGGATGCTCACCGTTGATGTACAGACTGTCCCTGTCCAGGGTGTAGGAGCCCAGCTGGGTGACACCGTGGGTCTCGTGGCTCAGCTCCCAGTAGAGCCGCTCTCTGTCCAGTCCAGTGCTTGTGTGGTCAGGGCGATGGGTGCAGACAGCATCCACTCCAGTAGTTGCTCCATCTTTTTCAGGCCTGGATAGGAACGGACATGGGGATGGGCAAGTGGGAACTCCCGGCAGGTGCCTGAGAAGCCGCATTGAGCAAGGGAGCTGAGAAAGCAGGAGGGCTGGTGGGAACCTGGAATGTCTTGGTTGGTGGGGGAAGGGTGGAAATAAATAGGATGGCTGCAAAGAGCACCTCCTAGCCCAGATTGCCAACCAGCAGAATTGTGGGCTAAATTTGTTATGCAGAAAAGCAAACAAAGACACTCCAAGTTATAGATGAGGAGGCAAAGGTACAGATATATTAAGCAACTGGCCAGGAGTCACAGAGCCTTGAACTGGGATTTGAGCATAGATCTGTCAGACTCCAAAGATAAGTGTGCAACCACTATACTGTCCCGTACCAAACCCATTGCCATCGAGTCAATTTCAGCTTATAGTAACATCATAGGACAGAGTAGAACTGACTCAGAGGGTTTCCAAGGCTGTAATCTTTACAGAAGCCGACCGCCTCATCTTTCTCCCGCAGAGTGGCTGGTAGGTTCGACCGTGGACATTTCAGTTGGCAGCTGAGCACTTAGCCACTGTGCCACCCGGGCTCCTTCACTATACTGCATTGCTCAATAATCCCTCCAGGGTGGAGCAGGATCGCAAATCCACCTCTGAGAGGTCAGAAAGCAGGATTTGGTCATTGCTGGGAGATAATACATATAAGGAGCCTGGGTGGTGCAAAAAGTTTGCGAATGGCTGTTAATCTAAAGGTTGGTGGTGTGAACCCACCCATTGGGTCTGCAGAAGAAAGGCCTGGTGAACTGCTTCTGCAAAGTTATAGCCAAGAAAATTATGGAGCAGTTCTACTGTGTAACACATGGGGTTGTCATGAGTCAGAATTCACTTGCTAGCAGTGGGTTTGGATTTTTTGGGTGGTGGAGGGAATAGTATGGCAGGGGAGGGCTTGTTACAGAGACGACACTCTTTAACTAAATAGTGGGAAAAGCAGAATAGAGAATTATGCATCCTATAGAGCAAGGTTTCTCCACTTTGGCACTGTTGACATTTTGGTTCAGATAATTCTTTTTGTGGGGGGCTGTCCTGTGCTAAGGAGCCCTGGGGGCGTGGTGGTTAAAGCAATCGACTGCTAACCAAAAGGTCAGCAGTTCGAAAACATCAGTGGCTCTTTGGGAGAAAGATGTCGCAGTCTGCTTCCGTAGAGATTTACAGCCTTGGAAACCCTACGGTGTTGCTAGGAGTTGGAATTAACTCGATGGCAGTGGGTGGGTCCCCTGCCTGGCCCCCTGGGTGGCATATATGGTTAAGCACTTGGATACTAACAGAAAGGTTGGTGGTTCAAGTCTATCCAGAGATGCCTCAGAAGAAAGGCCTGGCAATTACTGAAAGGTCACAGCCATTGGAAACCCTGTGGAGCACAGTTCTATTCTGACACACATGATGTCACCATGAGTCAGAATTGACTCGATGGTAACTATTTTGGTTTGGTTTTGATCCTGTGCATTGTCACATGTTTAGCAGCATCACTGGCCTCTACTCGTTAGATGCCAGTACCACCCCCATGGGAGCCCTGGTGTCACGGTGGTTAAGAGCTTGGGTGCTAACCAAAAGGTTGGCAATTCAAATCTACCAGCCACTCCTTGGAAACCCTATGGGGCAGTTTGACTCAATGGCAACGGGTTTGGTTTTTTTGGTTTAGCATCCCCACCCCCATGGCGTGACAATCAAAAATGCCTCCAGACATTACCAGCTGTCTCTTGGGGAGCAAAATCACTCATGATTGAAAACCACTACTTTATAGTGACTTTCATTTCTAGGTCTACCATCTACCCTTCCTTAGCTCTTACCCACCATATCAGTTCCTCTTTACTCTTTTCTCCATCACTATCTGAAGGTTATAACCATAGGTACTAGACTCTCTCCAGTGCCGAGGGTTTTATGATGATGCTGAAGTGATTGACTAATTGTTTTCTCAACAAGCTCCAAAATAAAAATCCTTCTGAAAAGTCCATCCTTATCTCCTATGAAGCAGAGGCTGACTGGATTCTACATTTTCTGGTTAGGATGGGAAGGGACCAGAGTGGGAGCTGGGGGTCGGGTGTCCCAAGGGTGGTGGGTACAGCTTAGGGTCCAACATATGGGTGAGGGTCACCTCCCCACTGCCTGCATACATGCTCTGGTGTTCTCACCTGAGCAAGGTCAGTCTGCAGCCACAGTAGAGTGGCCCAATACTGCTGTTCTGGAACAAAGGCCTGAGCTAGGAGGGAAAGAGAAGAAGGTAAGCAGGACTGGCCAATAAGGTTGGCAGGACGAGGGTGAACTGAGACAGGGTAGGCATTGGGGGCTCTCACAAGGCGATTCAAAATCCTCTCTGTGATGTTGAATATCTCAGAACCCAGGTGCCCCATGTCCTCCATGTAGCGCAGGTTGGTGATGGTGAAGTTCATGGTGAAGGGCACCAGGGAAGGGCTCACACCTGCAGGTGGAAAGGGAGAGATGGGGTCCATTATGAGCTCAGGCCTGGGATGGCTGTAGGGGGAGGGCCCAGGGTTGTCCCTTTAGCCCCAGAGTCCAGAGGATCAGGCCTGAAACTTCCCACCTGGGTCACCCTTACACCCAACCAGCCTTAAGAGGGGTTGTTGTTAGGTGCTGTTAAGTTGGTTCTGACTCATACTGACCCCATGTACAACAGAACAAAACACTGCCCAGTCCTGCGCCATCCTCACAATTGTTGTCATGCTTGAGCCCATTGTTGAAGCCATTGTGTCAATCCATCTCGTTGAGGGTCTTCCTGTTTTTCACTGACTTTCTACTTTACCAAGCACAATGTCCTTCTCGAGGGACTGATCCCTCCTGATAATGTGTCCAAAGTACGTGATGTAGTCTTGCCATCCTTGCTTCTAAGGAGCATTCTGGCTGTACTTCTTCCAAGACACATTTGTTCATTCCTCTTGCTGTCCATGGTATATGCAATATTTTTCACCAACACGGTGTCAATTCTTTGGTCTTCCTTATTCTATAGAGGGGATGGGTCTCCATATTGGATGGATGATTTTAGTTGGAAAAGAAGCTCAACTCTTTGCAGCTTAAAGCGTCTAAAGACTGATAACTGGTGGGTATTCCAGTGGTAGGAAGAGAAGCAATTTCACTCTGCTGCAGTTAGTTTGGCTCCTGGGCAGAGACCTCTCCTGGGCTTCTCTGATTTCATCTTGAGAGTTGTGCAACTGCTGAGTCTCTTTCTTCCAGGAGCGTGGGCCCCTGTCTCAGCTCCTTTGGCCATCTCTGGAGAGTGCATTTGAGGTGGGTGGATCACATGCCCTGGTTTGCCCTGGGCAATCATATGTCCCCATGTAAATATGAACTTCACCCCTTTCTCTCTTACAAGTGTCCCAGTAGGAAATAAAAACCGTATGGTCATCCTAGGAGTCCTTGGGTGGTGTAAACAGTTAAGCGCTCAACTACTAGTTGAGTGTTTGGTGGTTCAGACTCACCCAGAGGCACCTCAGGAGACAGGCCTGGTGATCTACTTCCGAACGATCACAGCCTTGGAAACCCATGGAGCAGTTCCACTCTGCATTCAAGTAGTTTCCGTGAACCAGAATCGACTCGACGGAAACCAACAACTACAACAACAGCATGGTCATCCTGGGATTAGAGTTGCGAAGAATCAAAAGGCCAGGGGTCTGAACTGGACAACTGTACCCTGGACAATTTACATCTAGGGAGCACTGACTGCACCCCAGCCTTTGTGCCATTCAAAAAGAACCAGATGAAAGTGTTAGAACTGAGAAATGCAGTATCTGAGATAATAAATTCACTGCATCATCCCAGCTCACCCTCGCCACAATCCTGAGAAGGTCAGTATTACCAGTTCCGTTACACAGAGAAGGAAACTGAGGCTCAGAGAAAGAAAATCTCACTCATATCCCACAGACAGATAAACGGCACAGCTTCAATGTCTCTCTGGCACCAAAATCAATATCTTTCCCTGAAAAACCCACATCTCCCCTAAGACATAAAAATTAGGAGCGGGGGCCCTAGAGCCAGATTTTCTGCAATTGAATCCCCACCCTATGCTTACTAGATGGTTGACTGGGCAAGTTACTGACTAACATCTCCATGCTTCTGTTTCATCCTCTAAAAATGGTCATAATTGGAGTAGCTACTTCCTAGTGTTTTGGAGCCCTCAGACCCATACCTGGACAAGGTGAGGAGATAGGACATAAATCAAACTCATGACAAAGGCAGATCCTGAATGATATTCTGGATGTTTAAATAGAATCCACAAATGTGGACATATGCAGGAATTGTTGCACTCATACACTGATTCATTCAGTCATTTGTTAATTCAATAAATAAGTGCCACCTCGGTGCTCAGCTCCTGAGTGACAAATACATAAAGAGAGAATAAACTAGTAAATTCCATGAAATAAATAATCACAGTGATATGATAGAGAAAACCTATGGACAGGTGTATAAGCCAAAAAACCAAACCTGTTGCTGTTGAGTCGATTCCAACTCATAGTGTCCCTAAAGGACAGAGTAGAACTGCCCCATAGGGTTTCCGAGGAGCTGTTGGTGGATTCAAACTGCCGACCTTTTGGTTATCAGCTGTAACTCTTAACCACTGCGCCACCAGGGCTCCTAATTGTTATATTAGAAGCCCCTAATGTGCCTTCCCATCCTGAGATTTGGAGATTGTTTTTCCTGGGTTAGTCTGCAGTATAGCCTAGTAGATAGGGGGGCTAGATTTTAGAGTCAATTTGGGGTTTAAGTCCCAACTCTGTCACTTATTAGCTGGCTGTTCTTGGGCAGATGGATTTCCCTCCCTGAGCCTTGTTTGCTTCTTTGTAAAATATACATAACATCTCATAGTGTTTTGTGTAGGATTAGTAAGATATAATACATATAAAGCTCTGGACCAATAAATATTATCCATGATTGTAGTTGTTGTTGTTGGTGTTGTTGCTAAGAGTGTTGTTGCAAAGGACTTCATTGCTAACAACATTACTAAAAGGTTTTTTTTCTTTTTAATTTGTGGTGGTGGTTGTTAGGTGTTGTCGAGTCGGTTCTGACTCATAGCAACCCTATGTACAGCAGAATGAAACACCTCTCGGTCCTTCACCATCCTCACAATCGTTGTTATGCTTGAGCCCATCGTTGCAGCCACTGTGTCAATCCATCTCGATGAGGGTCTTCCTGTCTTTCACTGACCCTCTACTTTACCAAGCATGATGTCCTTCTCCAGGGACTAGTCCCTCCTGATAACATATCCAGAGTATGTGAGATGAAGGCTCACCATCCTCACTTCTAAGTAGCGTTCTGGCTGTACTTCTTCCCAGACAGATTTGTTCTTTCTTCTGGCAGTCCTTGGTATATTGAATATTCTTCACCAATACCATAATTCAAAGGCATCAGTTTTTCTTCTGTCTATCTTATTCATTGTCCAGCTTTTGTATGCATATGATGTGACTGAAAATACCATGGCTTGGATCAGGCTCAACTTAGTCCTCAAAGTGACATCTTTGCTTTTCAACAGTTTAAAGAGGTATTTTGCAGCACATTTGCCCAGTGCAAAGCTTAACTGATTGTGCTACCATATGTGCTAAGCACTTAGTAAAGTGCTGGCACAGGGTTATCTATGGCTATTACTAATAACCATTAACCAGCCGGAACCCTGGTGGTGCAGTGGTTAAGAGCTTGGCTGCTAACCAAAAGGTCGGCAGTTCAAATCCACCAGCAGCTCCTTGGAATCCCTATGAGGCAGTTCTACTCTGTCCTATAGGGTCATTATGAGTCAAAATTGACTTGACGGCAGTGGGTTACAGTTATGGGTTATTAATCAACCAGTTGCCATCAAGTCGACTCCAACTCATGGCGGCCCACGTGTGTCAGAGTAGAATTGTGCTCCATAGGGTTTTCAATGGCTGAGTTTCAGAAGTAGATCGCCAGTCCTTTCTTCTGAGGCTCCTCTGGTTGGACTTTAACCTCCAACCAATCAGTTAACCACTAAGTGCATGACCTGTTTGTACCATGCAGGGACTCCTATTGTTAATAAGTATTTATGAAATAGAATTCACTCAAAGTTTAATTTTATTCTGGGCCAAATAAAGAAGGATCTTTGGCAAACATACAACCAGTACATATCACGGAATAAAAAGTTAGTTATGAGGGTGTTCATCTCGTTGTTTAATGGGTACACAGTTTATGTTTGAAGTGATGAAAGGGTTTTGGCAATAGATAATAGTGATGGTTGCACAACCTTGTGATTGTACTTAGTGCCCCTAACTTGTCCACTTAAAAATTGTTAAAATGGCAAATTTTATGTAACATGTACTTTATCACAATAAAAACAATTTTTTTTTTAAAGTATTAAAAACTTAGGTATTCACCGTGGGGACTGTTTAAATCAGGAGTTGGCAAATTATGGTCTGCAAGCTGGCTTGGTGTCTTTATAAAGTTTTATTGGAACACAGCCGTGCACATTTGTTACCATATTGTTATTAGCTGTTTTTACACCACAGTGGCAGAATTGAATAGTCTGAACAGAGACTGTATAGCCTGCAAAGACAAAAATATTTACAATATGACCCTTGAAGAAAAGTTTGCCAACCCATAATCTCCCTGGGTAGTGCAGATGGTTAATGCACTTGACTACTAACCAAAAAACTGGAGGTTCAAGTCCACCCAGATGTACCTTGGAGGAAAGATCTGGTGATCGACTTCTGAAAAATCCACATTGAAAACCCTGTGGAGCACAGTTCTACTCTGACACACATGGGGGTGCCATGAGTCTGAGTCGACTCAATGGCAAATGGTTTAGTTTAAATAAAATGATGGGAGAGACAAACCATATAATAAAATGTAGCTGTTAATAGATTATATAACAGGGAAAATGTTCACAAGTTACAAAAGTATATTTTTGCATGATTGGTTGTTCTTTTAAAAACCAAGCAAAGGAAACGAAACAAGCCCTGAGGTCACCTTTTAGCTAAATAGCAGATTGGCTCACAAAATAAAGAATATCACCAATGAGTACTGTGCCCCTTTCAAAAATCACCTATATGAGACCAAAGGGTCAACAATTACTTTAAAACAAAGATGAGAAGGTAAGGGGATGGGGAAACTAGAATAATGGAAGCAGAACAACCAGAACAGAAATAATGAGAATGTCCACACATTGTGAAGAATATAATCAATGCCACTGAACAATTAATGTAGAAATTGTTGAATGGGCAACTAAACTGCTATGTAAGTTTTCATTGAAAACACAGTAAAGTATCATTAAAACACACATAGACACAGCGACAACAAATGAGTTTTTCTCTAGGTGGTAGGTGGGGTTATGAGGGATTTTTCATTACATGTTTTCAATGTCTTTGACAGCATAATTGTACTATTTTTAATGGGAAAAAAGTATAACAAGAATAGGTTAAAGAGTTACTCTTACTTGTTACTGGATTCACACTCCAAGAGGCCCAGGTGGACATCCCAGCTGTGGTTCGAGGGGCAGAGGGACTTCTGGACAGTGTTCTGAAGGTGGCTGTAGTCTCGGCCACAGTAGCACCTGGCCCTGTGGCAGCTGAATCAGTGATCTCAACACTTGTAGTTTTCAGGATGGTTGCTGGACTTGCTCCCTCTCCATGACTGGTTTTAGGTGGTGTTGGGGTCTCTGTTGGTATCAAGGTCACAGAGGCCGCTGTGACTGTCCTGGAAAATTCTGGGAGTCCAACTGAGGTCACAGGTGCTGAGGTTTCCATGCTCCAGGAAGGTACAGCATTAGGCTCCCCAGCTGTTGCAGGGGCAGTGTCAGGTCCAAGTACACCAGGGGAAACAGTCAGCGCCAGAATACCTGTGCTGGCCTCTTCTGCAGGGCTGGTGGCCAGTAAACCTGTGGTCTCTGGTAGACCAGGGGAAGGAGCTGAAGTTGGAATATTTGTGCTGGTCTCTGTCCGAGGATGGGTGGAGAGTGAGGCTGTTTCTGTGGGAACACCAGGTGAAGCCGTTGGAGATAGATCATATCTGCTGGTCTCAGTCCTGGGTATGGTGACCAGAGAGAATGTTGTTTCTGCTACACCAAGGAAAACAGTCTGAGTTGGAAGGGCTGTACTCATTTCCACTCCGTCTGTGATGGCTAGTGAGGCTGTGGTCTCTGATAAATGAGGGGAAACAGTGGAAGCAGGAATAGGTGGACTTGTCTCTGTGCTGGGGTGGGTGACCAAGAAAGCTGAGGTCTCTGGTTCACTAGGAGAAGCAGTCAGCATTGGAGTAGTTACACTACTCTCTGCCCCAGAACTAGTGACCATGGAGGACACCATCCCTGGTACACCAGGAGAGGTAGCCCAGGTTGGAACAGCTGAACTGAACTCAGCCTCAGAATGGGTGACTGGTAAGATTGTGGTCTCTGGTCCACCAGGAGAAGCAGTCAGAGTTGTCACAGCTGTATGTGTCTCTGCTCCAGAACTAGTGGCCAGTGAGGTCACCATCCCTGGTCCACTAGGGGAGACAGTCAAAGTTGAAACAGATGAACTAGCTTCTGCCCTAGGATAGGTGACTGGTGAGGTGGAAGTTTCTGGTTCATGCAGGGAATCAGTTAGAGTTGGAATACTTGTACTAGTCTCTGCTCCAGAACTAGTGACCAGTGAAGTCACCACCCCTGCTATGCCAGGGGAAACAGTTAGAGTTGAAACAGCTGAACTGAACTTAGCCCCAGAATGGGTGACTGGTAGGGCTGTGGTTTCTGGTTCACCAGGAGAAGCAGTCAGAGTTGGAGAAACCATACTTGTCTCTACCCCAGAGCTAGTGACCAATGACGTCACCATCTCCATCACACCAGTGGAAACAATCAGAGTTGGAATGGCTGAACTGGACTCAGTCCCAGGATGACTGGCCAATGAGGATGTGATTTCTTGTTCACCAGGAGAAACAGTTAGAGTTGGAATAGTTGTACTGGTCTCTGCCCCAGAACTAGTGAGCAGTGAGGTCACCACCCCTGGTACACCAGGGGAGACAGTCCGAGCTGGAACAGCTGAACTGGATTCAGCCACAGGATGGGTGCCTGGTAAGGCCGTGGTCTCTAATTTACCAAGAGAAGCAGTCAGAGTTGAAAGAGTTGTATTTGTCTCTGCTCCAGAACTAGTGGCCAGTGCAGTTGCCATCCTCATCACACCAGTGGAAACAATCAGAGTTGGAATGGCTGAACTGGACTGAGTCCCAGGATGGGTTTCTCGTAAGGATGTGGCCTCTGGTTCACCAGGAGAAACAGTCAAAGTTGGAATAGTTGTACTGGTCTCTAGGCCAGAGCTAGTGCCCAGTGAGGTCATCATTCCTGATAAACCAGGGGAGACAGTCATAGTTGGAACAGATGAACTGGTTTCTGTCCTAGGATGGGTCACTAACGAGGCTGTGCTCTGTGGTTCACCTGGGGAATTAGTCAGATTTTGAGTTTGAATACGAATACTGGTCTCTACCCCAGAACTAGTGGCCAATGAGGTCATTATCCCCGGCCCACTCGGTGAGACAGTCAGAATTGGAACAGATGAACTGGCGTCCATGCTAGGATGGGTCACTGGTAAGGCTGTAGCCTCTGGTTCATGCAGGAAATCAGTCGTAGATGGAATAGTTGTACTTGTCCCTGCTCCAGCACTAGTGACCAGCGAGGTCACCATCTCTGTCTCACCAGTGTAAACAATCAGAGTTGGAATGACTGAACTGGACTTAGTCCCAGGATGGCTGGTCAATGAGGATGTGGTTTCTGGTTCACCAAGAGAAATAGTCAGAGTTGGAGTAGTTGTACTGGTCTCTGCTCCAGAACTAGTGACCAGTGAGGTCACCATTTCTGATATATCAGGGGAGGTAGTTGGAGCTGGAACAGCTGAACTGGTTTCTCTCCCAAGATGGGTTGCTAATGAGCCTGTGGTCTCTGGTTGACTTGGGGAATTAGTCAGAGTTTGAATAGCCATACCGGTCTCGGCCCCAGATCTAGTGACCAATGATGTTACCAGCCCTGGCCCACTAGAAGAAACGGTCAGAACTGGAACAGATGAACTGGTGTCCGTGCTGGGATGGGTAACTAATAAGGCTGTAGTTTCTGGTTCACGCAGGGAATTAGTCATAGTTGGAATAGTTGTGCTGGTCTCTACCCCAGATCTAGTGACCAGTGAGGTCACCATATCCAGGACACCAGGAGAGACAGTAAGAGTTGGAACAGCTGAACTGGTTTCTGCCCGAGGACTGGTGGCCATTGAGGATGTGGTATCTGATTCACTGTGGGAAATAATTGGGGTTGTCCTGGGAATATTTGGGGTGGTCTCTGTAGGATGAGTGACCCAGGAGGTTGTTGTCTCTAGTTCACGAAGGGAATCAGTCAGAGTTCCAAGAGCTGGGCTTGTCTCTTTCCCAGAACCAGTGACCAATGAGGTCACCATCCCTGGTAAACCTGGAGAGACAGTCAAAATTGGAACCGCTGAACTGACTTCTGCCCTAGGATGGGTGACTGGTAAGGCTGTAGTCTCTGCTTCATGAAGGGGATCAGTCATAGCTGAGAGAGTTGTACTGGTCTCTGTCCCAGAGCTAGTGACCAGTGAGGTCACCATATTAAGGACACCAGGTGAGACAGTCAGAGCTGGAACAGCAGAGCTGGCTTCTTCCCCAGGACTGGTGGCCATTGAGGGTGTGTTGTCTGCTTCACTGTGGGAAACATTTGGGCTGGTCTCTGTAGGATATGTGACCACTGACGCTGTTGTATCTGGCTCACCAGGGGAATCAGTCATAGTTGGGATAGCCATGCTGATCTCTGCCCCGGAACCAGTGACCTGTGTGGTCACCATCCCCTGCTTACTGGAAGAGACAGTTGGAGTTGAAACAGCTGAACTGGTCTGTGCCGCAGGATGAGTGGTCAGTGAGGTTGTGGTTACTGATTGACCTAGGGAATCAGTCATAGATGGAAGAGTTGTACTGGTGTCTGCCCCAGAACTAGTGACCAGTGAGGTCACCATATCCAGGACACCAGGAGAGACAGTAAGAGTTGGAACAGCTGAACTGGCTTCTGCCTGAGGACTGGTGGCAATTGAGGGTGTGTTGTCTGCTTCACTGTGGGAAACATTGGGGGTTGTCCTGGGAACAGTTGGGCCGGTCTCTGCAGGATGGGTTACCCATGAGGTTGTTGTCTCTGGCTCATGAGGGGAATCAGTCAGAGTTCCCAAAGCTAGGCTGGTCTCTTCCCCAGAACTAGTGACCAATGAGGTCACCATCCCTGGTAAACCAGGGGAGATAGTCAAAATTGAAACAGTTGTACTGACTTCTGCCCTAGAATGGGTGACTAGTAAGGCTGTAGTCTCTGTTTCATGAAGGGAATCAGTCATAGTTGGAATAGTTGTACTAGTCTCTGCCCCAGAGCTAGTGACCAGTGAAGTCACCATATCCAGGACACCAGGTGAGACAGTCAGAGTTGAAACAGCTGAACTGGCTTCTGCCTGAGGACTGGTGACTGTTGAGAGTGTGGTGTCTGATTCACTGTGGGAGATATTCTGAGTTGTCCTGGGAATATTTGGGCTGGTCTTTGCAGGATATGTGACCAATGAAGTTGTTTTATCTGTCTCACCAGGGGTATCAGTCAGTGTTGAGATAGCCGTGTTGGTCTCTGCCCCAGAACTAGTGACCAGTGAGGTCACCATCCCCTGCTCACTAGAAGAGACAGTTGGAGTTAAAATAGCTGAACTGGTCTGTGTCCCAGGATGAGTGGTCAATGAGGTTGTAGTCACTGATTGAGCTGGGGAATCAGTCATAGATGGAATAGTTGTACTGGTGTCTGTCCCAGAATTAGTGACCAGTGAGGTCACCATATCCAGGCCACCAGGAGAGACAGTCAGAGTTGGAACAGCTGAACTGGCTTCTGCCTGAAGACTGGTGGCCATTGAGGGTGTGGTGTCTGATTCATTGTGGGAAACATTCGGGGTTGTCCTAGGAACAGTTGGGCCGGTCTCTGCAGGATGGGTTACCCATGAGGTTGTTGTCTCTGGTTCACGAATGGAATCAGTCAGAGTTCCAAGAGCTGGGCTGATTTCTTCCCCAGAACTAGTGACCAATGAGGTCACCATCCCTGGTAAACCTGGAGAGACAG